GTGAGTGTTGTTAACCTTTTTGTGTTGAAAAGGTGCCTTTCTGGATGATATTAGTACGTGTTATTCAAATGATAGTTGTTGCATACTAGATAAATTTTGAAGGTCTTCAATAGTTGAGTAATGAAAGTTGCTAAGACATGTATTCAAGATTAAATAAGTGTCTTGATTCCCAAGTACTCCTACCACAATGGCACCTTTTCTTAGCATACTTTGTGAGAAAGAGGACACAAATCAAGTGATGATGGGAAGATGTACTAGAACTTAATAGATTTTAAAAATATCTGCAGTTTCTTAAGAAATCTTAAATCAAAATTTTGTACATGTTCATGCTTTTGTTCTAGTACTTTGTGAAGAGGTTTCATTACATCTTATAATAATAAGTAAAATTTAGATGAAAATTCCTTCATTTAAGGTTTGTGTCCTTGATTGATATTTGTAGATTGATACATAGAAAATCCTTTTAACTGACGTTAGTATTTTGCACAGGGCAGTATTAGGCAGAATATTAAGGAAAAGCTTGGGAAAATAAAAGCCTTAATTAGCAAGAGGTATGAGTAAGGATAAATGCTGGGGATCGATCTGTTTAAAAGTTTCAATAAAATGTATTTGAAAGAATTTATACATTAGCTTTAATGCTGCCCTCTGTTTCCATTGTAGATGTATATATCACTTTTGACTGTTATGAATTATACAATAACATGGCTTTTGTGTTTACATGCAAAACCATTTTATTTGATATTGCTAGATGTCAGAAATAATGTAAAGAATCAGTAGATGCCTAAGGCCAGGGGATAAGCAGTATACATTTGTAAAAAAAAAAGTTGGGACACTGACTGGATGCCATTTGATTTTTTTTTCTTCTCCTCGCTGAAGGACATTGTAAGATGCAATTGTTATGTCTCTTACATTTTGGATATTGTACGTAATTGCTGTTCTGTATGTCAGGTTTCAGTTGAGAAACCAGGTTGAAGTCTCACTCTTTTATTGTGTGTATGTATGTATGTATGTATGTATATGTGTATATATATATATATATATATATATATATATATATATATATATATATATATATATATATATATATATATATATACATATATAAAGATATATTATATATATATAAATAAAATGATGTGAGATAGTTGTATCAGATTTACGTGTGAGGAGGTAAGGCCGATATATGCTAAAAGTGTGGCAGGCTGTTTCATTTTACTGATTATACCTTTGAGTTCAGAACTCAGAATTTAAAACGTGATGCTAGAAACGATTATTTAAGGCGTGAAGAAGTCTTTTTTTGCTAATTTTTTAGGCTTTTGAGAGATAGTTTTATATTTGTTTCAACAGTTGGCATTTGAAAGGCTCTCACATTAAAGACAAGGCATAAGAAAAATTCCAAGCCTCTAGCAGAAGAGGCTTGCACATTTATCTTGTGTAAAGGGGAAACCTATTTTATTTTATTTTGGTACTTGAATTATTGAAGGAAGTGATTTCCTCCCCCTTTTTCTATTTCCTGGCTTACTCTTCTCATTTCTGCTTCCCCATTGAAACCTGTTTTTTCATTGCTTCCCTCTTTCCACTATTCAAGGAAATGTGTCTTTCTGTTATTACAATGTGTATTATCGTTGGTTTTAAAAGCACATGTACTTTGTGATAAAAAGCTCTTAAAACAGAAAGACCATTAAAATATTCAGATGTGATATCTTTTGCCAAGCATTTGTGATTAAATGTCTTGTGTATTAAATTGAAAAGAGTAATCATAGGTTGCTAAGAAAAAATAAGGAAACAAATGGAATAAATGTATTTTCACTGTACAGTATAACTATTTGTTTTTTGGTGTCTGGATTTGCTTTGAAAGAATGTTAACCTGGCACAAAAAAAGGAAAAAATATCTAGCAGTTATGATGCTGTGTGCATTTTATTTATATTTGTTTGTTTGAAGAAAGAGATAGGCTACCAACTGTTGCTGAACAGCGAATTATGTGCATGAGTTTTTGGTGGCTCAGAGTCTTTCTAACCCCCATCTTGATTTTTAGCGATTAAAATTTGAAGTGGGGGGGTGTATTATTGATGAAAATCGATGAGACACTGACAGTTGCTTTAATATATTATTAACTTGATTATTTTAATTACCATTTACCTTCTGTAACCTTCTGTAATAGTAATACTATCAGGATTATTACTGATGCTATTACAGTTATCATTATATTTGATAATCATATCTAAAGTAATTATTATATTGAAGCTAAGTTTGACTCTTAAAGATAACCTTTGAAGGAAAGATAATGATTGCATGCAGGGGTGGAAGAAGACAAACAAGGGTTTTAAGAGTATCATTTGATCAGTGATGTAGATTTATATGTTGTGTGTAAGATAGAAAAAGCATTTATATCTTGCACCAATGTGTGAATTGATGTCACCCTTTTTGGAACAATGGTTTTCCAGACCTAAGTTTGAATTGGTATGCATCTGTATGTTGCAACTGAGGATGTCTGAATGATTG